TATGATCCCGAAGCCTGTGATGTCTGTGGCAGCGTGTGCATTAAATTTGTGCATTAAGGCAGCAGCTGGAGAGAGAAAGAAAACAAAAACAACATTTGAAAACAATATAAAACTGGTTATATCTGGCTAAAAAACACACACACACACAAACTGCTTAAAGTACCTTATACTTAACCTTTCAAAACTTTGAACTCTGCATTTTTTTTTAAGTTTTTGAAAACACTAATGCTCACCAAGGCTGCATTTATTGAACAAAAATAGTAAAAACAGTAATATTATGACATGAAATTACTACAATTTTTTTTAAATCGTACTGACCCCAAACCTTTGAAAGATAGTGTATACCTAAAGGGGTCTTGTAAAAATTGGTAACAATTTAGAATAGGGAACACATTTTAAAAGTTTTCCCTGAACAAACTTCTAATTTGCTGCTTATTAATAGTTAATAAGGTAGGCTAGTTGTTAAGATTATGGGGTGGATTAAGGGAATCTAAAATATGGTCATGCAGGAAAAGGCATTAATATGTGCTTTATAAGTACTAATAAACAGCCAATATGCATGATAATAAGCAAAACGTTAATAGTGAGAATTGGTCCTTAAAAAAAAAAAATTACCAATAAATTTTATTTTTTCCTTTTTTTCCTCACCATTTGAAAAGTAAACATATAGGCCATTTGAACTACTACAAAGTTGCCAAACTAGGTTGTGTGTGTACTGAATATTGGTCCTACTGTTAAAATTAATCCACGCTAAGAATGCTTATGCAATGACATACCAGTGCGATTGAGGGTGGCCATATTGAGCATAGCCTCCTGATAAGCTTGCTCCACCTCCTCCCTGGATATCACCAACTTTATCTTGTTCCACTTCTCAGACTAAAATTAAGCATAAAGGTAAACAGATACAGAAAGAAATGAGATGAGATTACAGTGATACATGTGGAGTTGTTATCTCTTCAAACATCTACAAAAAGGGGGAAAAAACAGACAAGCAATCATTCCAAAGACACTCACTATATCCAGCCACTGATGGGCATTCACTGCTACTTGAGTTCCCAGAGGTTTAGTCAGAACTAACACATCTCCAGGTACAGCACTGTCAGGCCTGCAAACATACACATACATGTGAGCATTTACACAACTAAAACCGTGAAGTGTCACACAATGGATATTCACGTTGATAATTGTGGAAATATCCATTAAGGAAAATCTGAATCATTCAGAACCAAGTGTACAGACACAGTCCTTTGATTCATGAGAGAGCAGACAGAGACACTCACATGATGAAATCATTGGGCTGGCACACCACAGAAGCCACACCCCCGACGATGATCCAGGGATTGATGACTGTTTGTCCCCCGGTTACCGAAGTCCCAGCCTCCTCTGCCGCATCACGGAAGCCCTTCATCATTAAAGGCATCACCTGATCTCTCTCCTGAGAGAACAACAGCACAGTACAAAGAAAATTAACCATTTCACACTCAGCATCCTGAATTAAAAAAAAAAAAAAACTATACATAGAAAACATTAACGAAACATAAAAAAATGGAAAACAAAAATGATCGAAAATGAACGCAAAGAGAGCCCAGCTCACCTTCTCATTCATCTTCTGACTGACGCTGAGAAGCATGAGCATGTTGTCACACTCTGTGATGCCCATGGCATACAGATCACTCAGAACATTTGCACAAGCAATTCGTCCCTGTAAAAGAATGGATGTGAGTGCCATTTATTTGTAAGTTCCATGCTAACATTTCCGAAATATTAATAGAGATCACTCACCATCATGTAAGGATCCTCCACTAAAGGATAGAAGAAATCTGTGGTTTGGACCAGGGAAAGACCTCCATGCCTCAGAGGGATCACACATGAGTCCATTCCAGTACCTGCAGATAAGATCATTTTTCACCCTCTGTAATTTCCTGCACAGTGTGCATGCATATTTAAAGAAGCTTTGACTAATCATATAATATAGGTACTTAAATCCTTATAAAACCATTCAGTTGGCAACAGTATGAAGCATTTTTGTAGGATTACTTATGATCCATTTTGCAGAGGAAAACATTCATTTATAGCCTGGGTCCATAGTTCACATCTCTTTCAAATGATTGCATTATACTTCCTAGTAGTTTTTAATTAACAGGATAAGCCAAAGGTTAAACAAAGAGTTTTACAAACACAGATATTCTGTGATTTTTCGAGACTGAGACTTACGAATAACATGACAACAACGGTACTTTGTAGTTCTGTGTTATACATAAATAGATGACAACATATTGCATGCTGAATAACGTCTGTAATAACAAATAAATTAATATATTAATATAGTCGTTATATAGTCAGGTTAATCAGGGTATATTAAAGGACTGATGCAGGAAACAAAACGGTTAGTTTCTATTTTCAGACCTCTCTATATGCACAGATAACATGAGCGCTTTCGTTATGTCACTTTGACATTTGGCAGTGATGGGGAGTCTGACGCATTTCCGCGACTCGGTTCTTTTGAACAGTTCGTTTCCATGAACCGGTTCACAAAACCGATTCAGTTATTTTTTTAAGATCACAATAAAACCATAAGTAATCAACATATTACTGCTTACTAGGGGTGTAACGGTACACAAATATGACGGTTCGGTACGTACCTCGGTTTTAACGTCACGGTTCGGTATGATTTCGGTACAGCAGGGGGAAAAACTTTTTTTTTTTAAATGGTTTACTGAACAAGTTGCTCTTTCTTTAAATACATTCAGTTATAGTTTAAATGTTCTTAGTGATAAAAATCTACCTCAGCTTATGTTTAAAACTATAGGGAGCCCTTTTACATTATAAGGTTACAATTAGGCCTAACAACTTAACCCAAACTTAAATTTAATTACTATTTATTTTTAAACAGATGATCAACACTCAACTTTAAAAAATAAATAAATAAATACTTGTATGCAAACATGTAAACTGCACATAATGCAGTTTTTAAATTAA